AGGGAGGGGGAGAGGAGTGGGGGGGAGGGGGAGAGGAGAGGGAGGAGGGGGGAAAAGGGAGACGGGGAGGGAAATGGGAGGCGGGGAGGAGGCAAAAATCTTTTTTTTTTCAATAAAAAAATTATATTTAAAAAAAAATAAAAATTAAATTAGATGTGAATACTCACCATTGGCTAAGATTATTTTCTTATGAAAATGTTAATCTCTTGCTGTACAGATTTCCTTAGCAGGAGAATAACCAAAGCTTTATAAAGCTTTGCTAACTGGAACTCTAACAATGTTAATTACAGTGGCAAACTTGGCTTGAAATTGAGACCACACCGTAAAATGCTTTCTATTGCTTCTTTCCCTCCAGTCCTGTGAGTCTCTGACAGGCTTTGCCTAGCATCATTGATTTCTCATATTGTCACTTATGATGTTCAAACACAATTCTCTTCTTCAAGTTCCAGAGATGCAGTGTTCAGAAACCTGCTTCCTTTGGGGAGCTCATAGCTATTGAATAAGCGTTACCCATTGCCTACAAACTATTTTAATACAAAACTTTTAGTAAAGAGTTGTCGTTTTCCTTACTTAAACCATTTATTTAACAAACCAAGGATATAAAAACATGGCAAATCCTTGTTTTGAAGAATGATATATCAGTTTTGTGTTTTGATACTGGATCTGTGCTTTTCTTTGTCATGACTGCAGTCAGTGCACAACGCTCCAGCTTAACCAGGCATCTGACATTTTGTCTTCTCTGGACCACATTATGACCTACAAAGTTCATGCTTAAAATACTGTGCTTTCAAGTTACAATAAAATTACACACAAACACTCCCACGGTGTTTTAATTAAGTATACAAGTGTCAACTGGACCACACATAGCTATCTGCAGCTTATGGATCATGTTTTGGACAAACGTATAGCCAGCACGGAGCTGAGTGAGCACTTATGTTACACTAATGGAAGTCAGCATATATCCTCTTTCACACACCAGTTACCTTCTCTCTCTCCTCACCTGTCTTGACTCTTATTCACACATATGTCTTCTGTTTCTGTTTATATTTCAGGCTTCTTCTTTTCTTTATTCATCTTATAAACAAATTTCAATGATAATGGAGAAAAGTGTTAATAGAAAATAAATAAATTGTGTAATTATAAACAAATCAAGGAATCAAAATAAAAATCTTAAATTCACTCTAGTATGTTACTATGTTAAGGAGATGGTAAGATAGAGATCATAAATATATTGAATTAGAAAGATTTTATTCCTTTCAGAGAACTCAAAGTATGGACAAATAATAACCATCTCTCAAAATAGGTCAAGATAGAAAAGGTTGGAGATATTCAATGTGTTATTAACATAATATATAGTATGTTTATAAAGAAACAGTAAAGATTCTTGAAAATATTGTCATTAAATCTGTTTATCAGTGACACCTCTGAATTACAAAGCAAAAGCTTGTAACTCATAGCTTTTGAATAAGTGTTAACCATTACCTACATACTATTTTAATGCAAAATTTTTAGTAAAAGGGTTGTGTTTTTCCTTATTTAAGCAATTTATTTAACAAATCAAAAGCACAGATAATAAATACATATAACTGCATACATTTCAAGCCATTTGGCAAACACATCTAACTAAGCAAAATGAGACATAGGACTGGACACATAGATTGTAACTTTACGCTTCAGATAGATGGCAGAGAGTGTTACTTTTCATTTAAACCTCAATGCTAAGAATGATTTTTTAAACCTCAAGGAAATGCAATACATATAGTATGATACAATATAAATATTTTATCATTTCAAAGTAATGTTTTCAAAGGGACTGTGTGCTTCTTTTTGTTCTTTTCCAAGTACATATTGATGTCAAAAATAAAAAGTTTACATTTTATTTCATATTTTCAATCCTAGATATAATAATAGTAATGAGCATGTTTTCAACATTATAGTATAACAAATTTTTGTTGAGTAAAGTGTTGTCCCAGCTTAAGGTAATGAAGATAAAATTTCTGCTATTGCATTTCATTAGCAATTAGGGGTTTCTCAAGAGATAAAACATAAACACTTTTGAACCATGGTATTGCTATCAAAACTGCTTTGGTAAATGTGTGTGTACACAAATGCATAAAACAGAGATTTCTTTGCAATAGATTAATGTGTGATGAATAAAGCTCAAAAATTATTTTGACACAACTTGGAAAAATGTAGTGATGCCATTAATTAACATAGAAGGAAATCAAGAATTTAAAGGAGTAATTTGTAAAGTGAGTTGTGATTTTAAAAGAATTGTTAGGTTCCTTTTAATTTTTTGATAAACAAGCATCTTTTCATTTTATACACTGTCACCTTCATGAATATATTGAAACCTTTTAAGGTCATATAAGTTAATCAGCTGCCTATATGAATTGTTTTTTAATGGATATTTATGGTGTTCACATTATTTGCACAACATGAATTACACTGTGAAGAATACTAAGGTTAAGTAGGATCTTGGTCTTCAGAGTCTGACTTCACTGTTATTCCAGCATAAAACTCTCATCTGTATATATGAGTATACTGAAGTGAGGTGGTGACAATGGTTATGTCGTCACATTGACAT